AACGTTATTTGCTCCCTTTCCAATGCTTTTGAGGAGTTCCGACAAATAGTTTGTAGGATTAAACAAGCCTTTGTGTGAAGAACACCAAAAACAAAGTGCAATTTTCACAAAGAACAAGTGAAAATAGATATAGAATTGATTATGTGATAATTTGGGAGAATAATTTTTGGGTGGATTTCTTAATTTTCTCAAGAGTGTTTTTCATTGTAATTGGAACACCTATTTATAGGCTTTGAAGGGTTCCCACGAAATGGTGCAAAATTATGTTGAAAATGCACCAAATTCAAAAGAAAAACGGTGAAAAACGAATTCCCAACGGTTACTTTGTATAACCATCCGACCGCACACATGGGCTATAACCATGCGGTCGCATGGTTATAGTGTAAGTGGCCCTCCCATTTTCGGGAGGGCCTCACGCGGCCGCATGGTTAAGCCCACAACAATTTTTTTTTAATTATTTTGAACAACTATAATTCTAACAATTAATGCCTTAAGAAGCAAAGATTTGGAAGTTAAATCTGAGAGACATGGCAAGGAAAGTGAAAACCTGTTTGTGAGAGGTAGATCGCTGACCAGACATAGTAATAATCAAGGTAACCAAAATAATCAGTGGAATAATACCTCTAAGAAGAAGGGGAAGGGAAGAAAAAAGTCAAAATCTAGAAATCGAGCTAGAAAATGTTATGATTGTGGTAAAACATGTCATTACATTAAAGACTGATTTAAAAAGAAAAATGAACAGAGAGAGGTTAAGATTGATGAAGGGAACATAGTTGAACCTCTAGGTGAGGGTATGGTTGATGTCTATGTTGTAACTGAGTCCACATCTGATTTGAACTCTGCAAATTATGCAGATAACTCAAATCAGAGTGTAGAATGGATTTTAGATTCTGGCTGTATTTTCCATATGACCTCTAGAAAGCATTGATTGCTTAATTTTAAGGACTTAGATGGTGGTGAGTTAGTAATGGGTAATAATGCAGCCTGTAACGTATTGAGGATAGGCAGTGTGACTTTAAAATTTGATAGTGGGTACACCTTTATCTTGGAAAGGGTAAGGTATGTACCAGATTTAAACAGAAATCTAATCTCAGTTGGAAACTTAGATGACATAGGTCTCCAAGAAAAATTTGGAGATAGTTTCTTGAAAATAGTTAAGGGTTCCTTAATTATTTTCAAAGGTATTAAAAGAAATGAGATCTATGTCACTAAGGTAAATGTGTTAAGTCACATTGCTGAATCCTCTATGGTTGAAAGTGATGCTACATTGAAATGACATAATGGGTTAGCCTATGTTAGTGAGAAAGGTCTGTACATCTTAAGTAAGAAGGAAGCCTTTAGTAGTGATATAATTTCTAAAATTCCTTTTTGTGAATATTGTACCTTAGGCAAACAACATAGACTTAGTTTTAGTACAGGTAAGCATAAGACCACATCTATCCTTGAGTATATACACTCTGATTTGTGGGTCCATCATCCACCACCTCTCAAGGTGGAAATAGGTATTTTTTTATCATTAATTGATGATTTTTCAAGAAAAGTACGGGTATTTCTTTTAAAACAAAAATCAGACACTTTTGAAAAATTTAAAACTTAGAAAACTTTGATTGAAAATCAAATGGATAAAAAGATTAACATTTTAAGGACAGATAATGGATTAGAATTCTGTAATGCTGATTTTGAAAAATTGTGTAAGGATGATGGCATTTTGAGACATAAAACAGTACCTTATACTCCACAACAAAATGGTATAGCTGAGAGGATGAATAGGACAATCCTTGATGAGGTTAGGTGTATGATGTTCAGTTCAGGTGTCCCTAAAGTGTTGTGGGGGGGCTGTTATGACAGCAGTTTATGTTATAAATAGGACCCCAACTAGTGCATTAGATGATAGAACACCTGAGGGAGTGTGGACAGGAAAGTTGGCTGATTGTATACACTTGAAACCCTTTAGTTGTGCAGCATATTCACACCAAAGTGTAGGAAAACTTAAGCCCAGACCCCAGAAATGTGTTTTCATGGGATATCCTGAAGGAGTGAAGGGGTTTAGGCTTTGGGTGAGAGAAATTGGAGGTTTTAAGATGATAACCACTAGAAATGTGACCTTCAGTGAAAATGAGATGCCTTGCTTAGGCAAAGAGACCTCAAGAGAGGTGCCTAAGGGCTAGGAAGAAGGAAATATTAGGCTGCAAGTGGAACTTGAACATTCACCTGATCACGTTGTTGAAAATCAAGATGAAAATAAAATTGTGGAAGGATCAAGGAATGAAACTGTTCAAGTGCCTACTGATGAATTAGTGAACCCCTTAGGTGATTATCGGTTAGCTAGAGATAGGGTTAGAAGAGAAATAAGAGAGACTATTAGAATACAAGACTATATGTCTTTTGCTATGTTGTCTTATCAGGAATTAACCTTTAAGGAGCCTAAAACCTATGAAGAGGCCATCAGTTGTTAGTTTTCTAAGGAATGGCAGCTTGCTATGGAGGAAGAAATGAGGTCTTTAGTGAAGAATAAGACTTGGAGCTTAGTGCCTAAACCTGAAAATAAATCTCTAGTTGACTGTAAGTGGATTTATGCGGTAAAAGAAGGTAATCTCCCTAATCAGCTCCTTAAATTTAAGGCCCGATTAGTGGCTAATGGGTTTACCCAAAAACCTAGTATTGATTACAATGAAATTTTTTCTCCGGTTGTAAAATATAATACTATTAGATTCATGCTTGCATTAGTTGCACAATATGATTATGAATTAGAGCAAATTGATGTTAAAACTGCGTTCTTGCATGGTGACCTTGATGAAACCATATATATGAAACAGCCACAAGGTTTCGTTGATAAAAGAAAATCTGATCATGTATACCTGTTTAAAAGATCTCTTTATGGCCTAAAACAATCTCCTAGGTAATGGTATAAACGTTTTGATAACTTTGTGACTTCAGTTGGCTTTGTGAGAAGTTCTTTTGACCATTGTTTGTATTTTAAAAGGAATAACAGCAACTATGTGAGTGTTTATTTGCTTTCATATGTGGATGATATGTTGTTAATTGGCCAGAAAATAAGTGATATAAATGAGATTAAAAGGGTTCTAAGTGCTGAATTTGAAATGAAGGATCTAGGGCATGCTAAAAGGATTTTAGGGATGAATATAAACAGGAATAGGTCACAGCAGTTATTATTTTTGTCACAAACTGATTATGTGAAAAAGGTGTTATCCAAGTTTGCTATATATGATTCTAAATCTTTGACATTACCCCTTGCATGTCATTTTAAATTGAGTAAAGATCAATGCCCACGTGATGAATCTGACATTAAATGTGGAAAAAGTGTCATATTCAAATGCTGTTGGATCTGTAATGTACACTATGGTTTGCACACGACCCAATGTTGCACATGCTATAAGTACCTTAAGTAGATTGATGTCCAACCCTGGTCTTGAACATTGGAATGCAATGAAATGGTTATTACGGTACTTAAAAGGAACAGCAGACTTAGGCTTATATTTTAAACCAAACAATGAGGGAGTTAGATTAAAGGGATATGTAGATTCAGATTATGCCAGTGATAGAGATAATAGGAAGCCTACAATGGCATATATGTTTACTTTATGTGATACTTGTATTAGTTGGAAGTTTCAATTGCAATCAATTGTAGCCTTTTCTACTATCGAGGTTGAATATGTGGCTACAACCGAGGCCATTAAAGAGGCCTTATGGCTGAAAGGTCTCCTAAATGAGGTAAATGAATCTGTTGATCCTGTTGTTCTATATTCGGACAATCAAAGTGCTATACATTTATGTAAAAATCCAATTTTTCATGAAAGAACTAAACATATAGATGTAAGATTGCATTTCATAAGAGATATTGTACAAAGGGAATCATTTTGCTTGAGAAAATCCCTACTCAATTTCATCCAACTGATATGGGTACTAAGATACTTCCTTTAAATAAGTTTAATTCATGTTTGCAACTTTTAAGAATTGATACTGGGTAAATTTGTACTGATGCAGGTGTATTTTACTTGGTGTTGATGATCTTGGAGAAGTTATACCAATTGCTTGAGAAGTCTATTGTTATAATTTTTTCTTTTTTCTTTGTGTCTCTTGGTCATTGGCATCAAGGGGGAGATTTGTTGGGCTGTGATACCATAATTAGTTGGTGGACCAGCCGACTTTGGGCTATGATGATAAATGGTTGAAAATGCGGATACTATAGGCCCTTGTCCGATAACGCATTGAGTTGGACTCCTGATAACCCGGCCCAAACTCTGGTAATACACGTGTGTCGCTCTGGTCCGTTAGATTTCCTAACCCTATGATCTACGGTGATGACCTTGCCTATATAAATATTCTTGGTCTGGGACTTTTGACTTAATCCCTCTCTTATTCTCTCGCCTCTTTGTGTGCTTCTTTAAGAAGCTTCTGGGTCTCTCTCTCTCTCTCTCTCGATTGACCGTGTGACTTCCCTTTCATCTTCTTTGTGAACCTTTTTTTTGGCCATTAAACTTATGGTCACTTTGTTAGTGAGAAATCTTGGTGATACTTCCTTTTTCGAACTGGAAAGGGTTTTCTATTTAGGTTGGGAACTTGGGACCATTGAAGTGATCGCCTCTGTATTCTTTGTTTTAGGGCCGGTTCTTGTGAGATTCAACCTTTGTACATACGGGTACAAGGTGGATTTGAGCCTAAAATCTATGAGATCTTGATGCTATCGTCATTTGTTTGAGATTTGTACTTTGTGTCGATCTTGAGTTTTTTCATATAACACGGACATATTTAACTGGCCGCATTAGTTTTCCATTATCCATGTAAGCAAATCTAATAACGGATTCTATTCGGAGAGTGATAGAGTGAGACGGAGTAAAGTTCAGTGACTTATGGAACGCTTGATTAAGTTCAATGAGTAAATATTAATACGGTATAAAGTTTGTTGGTCATTGAAACATTTAACTACTAATTATAGCCAAATAAAAATGTAGAAAATAGGAAGAGGGAGTAACGTTTTTATCAGGCGGGGTGCGAGGGGCGGTTATGAATCTTCGACCAGCTTGCCGAAACGACCTCGTGTCATCAGCCTCTCTTTCTTCCCCATCACATACGACAGAGAACAGAGATTAATCTGATCGTTGGCCGTCCACGTAACTAAAAAAATCTCTCTAAAGAGTGAAAGGACAAAAACAACAGCTTTTTACACTTCTTAATAAGTCAACTATCTCCCAAAAAACCTAGACCGGAATCCTACCGATCGGCCGACCTGATAACTATTTATCGCTGATAGAAGGACGGGGTCGTTTAGGGAATTGAGTAGTGTGAATGAACTGAGTTTCATTCATCAACTGAAGCTGGGGTTAAGACCTAATATTTTTCAATCCGGTAAATGGATCGGGCGCAGATAACAGTTGGTCCGGGAATGGATATGCCGATCATGCACGATAGTGATCGATACGATTTAGTTCGAGACATCGGGTCGGGTAATTTTGGGGTTGCGCGGCTAATGAGAGATAAACAGACAAAAGAGCTTGTTGCTGTTAAGTATATTGAGCGAGGCGACAAGGTCAGTTTCGTTATTTGCGTAAAATCAAATTACCTGTACTTTAGCTTGTCTTTATCTGCTTTTGGAGCTGGATTTTATGTAAAAACTGGAGACGCTTTAATTTGGTGCGTAATTATTGTTGTTGGTCCAAATTTGGAACCTCTACTTTCGGATTTTTTTTTTTTTAGGATTAAGCATTTTAAGTTCCAATTTTGATGCACATATTTGGTTTTTTACTTTTTCGGATGAGATGACAATGCAAATGATTACTTTAAATAGGATCCATATCATCTTCAACTCAAGAGCTGATAGAAGTTAGGGATATGATTTTTGTAAATTGATAATTATATTGCGCCTGACTTTTCAAGGGCTTCATTTGGCAAAGTTCAAACAAGATTGATCAGTATCATTGTCAGCTTATTTAGTATCTAAAATAAATTTAATCTGAGTTCAAGCAGAAGTATTCTGTAACTACATAACAGCCCTGCATGTGTGTTATACTCTATTCACTGAAATCAACATGGGAAATATTTGCACATGTTGTAATAAGTATATGAGCTTCATAGGAAGCTAATACGGAAGACACCCTACAAAGAACCCAGCTCGCTTATCCAAACTTCTTCTCTACAAGTATGAGGTGGATTTATATCTCCATGAAAAACATGTACGCTAAGAGAGACAATGAAGGTATACAGAAACTGGACTTTTTAGAAACCACTGACTCTTTGAAACATATGATGTTTTTAGTCTAGGTACCCCAAATATGGTTTTTTGGAGTTTGAACTCCTATCTAGTGATGGCTCTTGCTGCAATTCAGATTGGTTGGATGAAAGAAGCATGGATGTTTCTTGTGGGAACTTCTGGCTGAAGCCAAAATTTATATATTCATGCCATAAATCATGGATTAAAATTTGAGTAAGAGTGGTTAAGAGAAATAAATGTTTTTCTGTATGAGTACAAGTGTGTTTTTTGGAGGCGTGAGAGAAATACTGGGGGAGACGGGAAGAAGTTCTGTACTAATAAAAATGAAAATTGAAAAAAATTGATATAAGTTATTCAATCTACTCTACCTTTTTCTCACTAACTAAAACTTCTTTGTTTCTTGAAATTTTCATTTCATTAAGTACTAATAAAGTGCTTATCAATTTTTGAAGACCATAGATGCAGATGTACACGCACATACATATAGTTCTAGGCCTGTGTTCATCGAAAATTATTAGTAAATTTTAGGAGGAATAGTGCTAGATATATGGATAATAAATGGGTAGTAGCCATGAATGCAAGGTTGAAATTATTGTTTGACTCTGACTTGGATAGAAAAATGATTTTTTAGTAATTGTTTAGGAAACACAAATAGAGGCTAGGTCTTTTCTTCGAAACGAGTCTCTTTTTTGTTTCTGGGGTATAGAGGGAAAGGGGTTGGGGGTACGAGGCCACTGCCAAGACCCTGACCTTTGTGCTTAGATAGCCATCTTCTAATTGAGTGCTGATGTCGCTGCTGCAAAGTTGCTTACTGTAGTTGGTACACTACTGAGACAGCAAGATGTTTATTTAAGATTGCATATTAGGGTATCTTCTGCAGAGGGAAAATTCTCTGGGGTTGCAGTGTTGGAGAAAAGTTATTTCTATTTCCTTTTGCGGAAGGAAAGTGGATTATCCTCCTCTTATGTGATCTATCAGAATAGGAATTTTCTGAATTAATGTATCCTGCACGATGTTTAAGATGAAGGAAAAATAAGTTCTTTTTAACCTTATACTTCTTCGCTTCCCCCTTTGTCCAACTGAAACGGTGGAAAAACAATTTTCTTTCTCATTCTGCCTTCTGTATTTCCTTGATATCTACCACTCTGATCGTATATACCTTTAGATGCAAGTCTTATCATAAACTCTTTCTTTGAAGAATAGTAGGTTATATTCTTCCACATTATAGATTGTCATAACTAACCTCAAGATATCACATTAACTGTTATTCTGTATTTGTCTAATAGTTATATCATCTGGTTATTTTGATACTCAAATCATTTCTTATCATCAATCACTTCTCATCAGCTGATATGATCAGTGTCCTACAGAATTCCTAGAAGGACCCTGTCCAAACTCTCTGCATCATTTAGTCATGTTTTATTTGTTGTGAACAAAATTGTGTTCTTCCAGATACATACTTATCCGCTTACTTGATTGAAAATCCCGCAACATGGCTAACAGAGAAGTATAATGTAATGGAACACGGTTCAAGTCTCAATTAGTCGCTTAGATTTTCTGCATACAGGTATTTCACTCAAAAAATAGTTTTTCCTATACTTATTGGTAAATAGCATCTTAAAGTGTAGCAAAGGCATTATTATAGTATAATTTAATAGTGCCACAGTTGGCCCTTGGAGTTAAAGTCCTGAGAATCATGACTGCTACAGGACCACTGTCTGAACCAGATCCTTGTAATTATGAAAACTCCTCTCCTTCTATAATTTTTTTAAACCTTTCTCTTGCTAGCTGGGTTCTTGCTTACACAAATTATATGACATTCAATGTGAATTGCATAATTTTAGCACAGGTGTGTTCAATGTCCGAGCGCGTCTCACCGATGTATTAGAAATGATACTTTGGGGGTGGATGTATAGCTAAACAATGCATACAAGTATTTTTTTTGGAACGTTGATGCATAACTAATGGGCTGTTCATTCCGATTTTTTCGTATTGTGACTTGGGTTCGTTGGGAATTCTCGAAGGATCAGAAAAAAGGGTCCGGATCTCCTGCATAATTTTAGCACAGGTGTGTGTTCAAATACTTAGATGGTAGCATCTTCCACATCATCTACATAGAATCAATTTACATAGAGCGGAGCTACTATATAGAAAGTAGGACTGATATTAGTAGATTGAAGTGAATTTAATTAAAGCCTCACAAGTGTTGAACCCAGGGGAAAAAACAACATTTTATGTGAGATGATGCTTAAACCGAAATGGTGTGGATGTGACCACTTAGATGAAGAGGTCTCGCTCAAAATTTGGAATTACCCTTCAGAGCTTACCTCTGGTACCGTTTTGAGGCATTACTCTAAAATTAATATTAAATTAGTCAATGTGATACTCCACTGAATACAATAAAGCCTTATCCCCTACTAATTTATGATTGGATATACTGATCCTCTTATTCCACTCTTCTTGATCACAAGAAATTAGTCGAAATGAAAGAGTGAATCAAATTAATTAAGTGCCCATATAGTAAGCTGGGCAGACACGTCACAAAAATCGAAGATCATGATTTAATTATGCTGGTAATTAGTTATTTTCCACCAGTCCGATGGGTGTAAGCTGATATTAATGATGTTAAACTAGACCCACTATGAGCATCAAGACATCTGATATTCTGAACTTGAAGTTCTTGCTTATCATTGTTATTCATGCCAAATATATTTTAAAGGGAAAATTGCAGCCGAGGTACCAAACCTTTCGTTTATTAGCAGGCTTTGCCCAAACCTTTAGTTTGTGCCACCCACAGTCCCAAACCGTTCAAAAATATGCACCTGGGGTCCAAATGGACGGTTTCCATCCGTTTGACCGTTAGTTGACCAAGGAAGGTGGACTTTGACTGATTTTGACCAAATTAAAATGGGTAAAATGGTAAATTTGCTATTATATACATAAAATAATTTAAAAAACTAGAAATAAAAATAAAACAAAATAAAATAAAAAAGAGAGAAGAAATAAAAAATTAAAAATCACCCCCCACCCCGACACCCACCCCCATCCAACCTAAACTAACCTACAGAATATGGAATCGTCTCTTTCTCAACAACATCATCAACCCCCATACTTCTTATATACCTCACACCCCACTCTAAATCATAACAATACATTCTCTCTACTTTTCTTTCCAATTCTGTGAGTCAGAGAAAATTGGAATTTTCTATAACCTTCAAATCTGACAATATTTGTAATAATACTCACAAACGAGAAGTATGGTTGAAAATCTTGAATCGGAGTTCCAATTGATTTTAAATCTCATCGATAAATACACTTTATTTCAAATCTTGAATCGGAGTTCAAATTGGAATTTTCTGCAACCATGAAATCTGGCAATATTTTATTTTGTTTTATTTTATTTCTAGTTTTTGGTCGTGGTTGCTCACTTTCACACAATGTGGAATGGGGTTTTTGGTGTAGGTTTGATGGTTGTGGTGGCAGTTGGTTTTGTGGCTGTGGCTGGTCGGCGGGAGTTAGTGTCGCCATTGCTGGTTTTGGGCGGCGAATTTGGGCAGTGGGGGGGAGTGGGGTGGGGTTCCATCTTCTGTAGGTTAGTTTAGGTTGGGTGGGGGTTCGGGGTGAGATGAGGAAGAAGATGATTTTTTTTAAGGTGGTCAAATTTACCTTTATACCCTTTTAAGTTGGTCAAAAATTGGTCAAAATTCAATTTTATTGGTCAACTAACGGTCAAACAGATGGAAACCGTCCATTTGGATCCCATGTTCATATCTTTGAAAGGTTTGGGACTGTGGTTGGCACAAACTAAAGGTTTGGGTAAAGTCTGCTAATAAACGAAAGGTTTGGTACCTCGGCTGCAATTTTCCCTATTTTAAACAAGGGATACTTTCGTCATTTGACCCTTCGAAGGTAACAAAAACTATAGAAGAAAACAGGGGAAAGAAGCGTAAATGTTTAAGACCAAAAAAAAAAAAAAAGAAAAAGTCTTCTTGAGATGAAAACATTGTTACATAACGCTGTTCAGCTACTTCAGAACGACACCTTGATGTCAGCATCACCTTCATTTTCGTCTCCAGTCGCTTTACAGTAGAATACAGCAGAACACACATCAATCCCATCGATCGTCAAGCATCCCTTGCTCTCAAGAAAAGTGAAAATACAACTGCTACTCCCATCCACTCTTCCGATAGGTTGCCTCCCGTTAAAAGAAAATGACCATGGGTAAAACCACCTTATCTCTGTAAATCTCCTTCCGATTTCATCTGATGCGTTTCAGTTATTAGTGAACCTAGTTAGATTGGTAGTGGATTGTAATATTA